AAAAGTTCGCATTACTAGAACAGGATCATAAATAAAAAGAATTATTTATCCTCTGATACCTCTTTAACGACATACAAATTATACAGTGTTTTTTGTGTGTGTCGAAGTAAGGTAATAGAGAAGTAGTTTTTTGGTATTCATGTAGATGCCCAATCCCCTCCTGTATGTAACATATAATTATTCTTAAACATGTCATCAATTGTCCAAGAAAAGATTACTCCTAAATTTTCCTCATCGTGGTCCCTAAGGTTTGCAACGGCACATGGGCTCACCCTGAATCCCCAATGCCAAAACATAGCAGAAGCCTAAGCGAGGCAATTATCTTTTTCGACTCGACTATGGAATCTCCTGGCTCTGAATCGAGAACGGGCTTCTCGAGTCTGACTGGTCGATTCAAACGGTGACAGTTTCCGCGTAAGAGAGCGAATGGGCACCTAGATACCAGTTTGCTTTGTATTCTCACGAGCTGTGCACATGGGCTCACCCACAATCCCCAATGCCAAAACATAGCAGAAGCCTAAGCGAGGCAATTATTTTTTTCGACTCGACTATGGAATCTCCTGGCTCTGAGTCGAGAACGGGCTTCTCGGGTCTGACTGGTCGATTCAAACGGTGACTGTTTCCGCGTAAGAGAGCGAATGGGCACCTAGATACCAGTTTTCTTTGAATTCTCACGAGCTGTGCACATGAGCTCACCCTGAATCCCCAACCCCAAAACTTAGCAGGAGCCTAAGAGAGGCAATTATCTTTTTCGACTCGACTATGGAATCTCCTGGCTCTGAATCGAGAACGGGCTTCTCGAGTCTGACTGGTCGATTTAAACAGTGACAGTTTCCGCGTAAGAGAGCGAATGGGCACCTAGATACCAGTTTTCTTTGTATTCTCACGAGCTGTGTACATGGGCTCACCCTGAATCCCCTTGGCTAAAACATAGCAGGAGCCTAAGCGAGGTAATTATCTTTTTCGACTCGACTATGGAATCTCCTGGCTCTGAATCGAGAACGGACTTCTCGAGACTGACTGGTCGATTCAAACGGTGACAGTTTCCGCGTAAGAGAGCGAATGGGCACCTAGATACCAGTTTGCTTTGTATTCTCACGAGCTGTGCACATGGGCTCACCCTCAATCCCCAATGCCAAAACATAGCAGAAGCCTAAGCGAGGCAATTATTTTTTTCGACTCGACTATGGAATCTCCTGGCTCTGAATCGAGAACAGCTTCTCGAGTCTGACTGGTCGATTCAAACGGTGGCAGTTTCCGCGTAAGAGAGCGAATGGGCACCTAGATACCAGTTTTCTTTGAATTCTCACGAGCTGTGCTCATGGGCTCACCCTGAATCCCCAATTCCAAAACACACTAGAAGCCTAAGCGAGGCAATTATCTTTTTCGACTCGACTATGGAATCTCCTGGCTCTGAATCAAGAACGGGCTTCTCGAGTCTGACTGGTCGATTCAAACGGTGACAGTTTCCGCGTAAGAGAGCGAATGGGCACCTAGATACCAGTTTTCTTTGAATTCTCACGAGCTGTGCTCATGGGCTCACCCTGAATCCCCAATTCCAAAACACACTAGAAGCCTAAGCGAGGCAATTATCTTTTTCGACTCGACTATGGAATCTCCTGGCTCTGAATCAAGAACGGGCTTCTCGAGTCTGACTGGTCGATTCAAACGGTGACAGTTTCCGCGTAAGAGAGCGAATGGGCACCTAGATACCAGTTTTCTTTGAATTCTCACGAGCTGTGCTCATGGGCTCACCCTGAATCCCCAATTCCAAAACACACTAGAAGCCTAAGCGAGGCAATTATCTTTTTCGACTCGACTATGGAATCTCCTGGCTCTGAATCAAGAACGGGCTTCTCGAGTCTGACTGGTCGATTCAAACGGTGACAGTTTCCGCGTAAGAGAGCGAATGGGCACCTAGATACCAGTTTTCTTTGAATTCTCACGAGCTGTGCTCATGGGCTCACCCTGAATCCCCAATTCCAAAACACACTAGAAGCCTAAGCGAGGCAATTATCTTTTTCGACTCGACTATGGAATCTCCTGGCTCTGAATCAAGAACGGGCTTCTCGAGTCTGACTGGTCGATTCAAACGGTGACAGTTTCCGCGTAAGAGAGCGAATGGGCACCTAGATACCAGTTTTCTTTGAATTCTCACGAGCTGTGCTCATGGGCTCACCCTGAATCCCCAATTCCAAAACACACTAGAAGCCTAAGCGAGGCAATTATCTTTTTCGACTCGACTATGGAATCTCCTGGCTCTGAATCAAGAACGGGCTTCTCGAGTCTGACTGGTCGATTCAAACGGTGACAGTTTCCGCGTAAGAGAGCGAATGGGCACCTAGATACCAGTTTTCTTTGAATTCTCACGAGCTGTGCTCATGGGCTCACCCTGAATCCCCAATTCCAAAACACACTAGAAGCCTAAGCGAGGCAATTATCTTTTTCGACTCGACTATGGAATCTCCTGGCTCTGAATCAAGAACGGGCTTCTCGAGTCTGACTGGTCGATTCAAACGGTGACAGTTTCCGCGTAAGAGAGCGAATGGGCACCTAGATACCAGTTTTCTTTGAATTCTCACGAGCTGTGCTCATGGGCTCACCCTGAATCCCCAATTCCAAAACACACTAGAAGCCTAAGCGAGGCAATTATCTTTTTCGACTCGACTATGGAATCTCCTGGCTCTGAATCAAGAACGGGCTTCTCGAGTCTGACTGGTCGATTCAAACGGTGACAGTTTCCGCGTAAGAGAGCGAATGGGCACCTAGATACCAGTTTTCTTTGAATTCTCACGAGCTGTGCACATGAGCTCACCCTGAATCCCCAACCCCAAAACTTAGCTGGAGCCTAAGAGAGGCAATTATCTTTTTCGACTCGACTATGGAATCTCCTGGCTCTGAATCGAGAACGGGCTTCTCGAGTCTGACTGGTCGATTTAAACAGTGACAGTTTCCGCGTAAGAGAGCGAATGGGCACCTAGATACCAGTTTTCTTTGTATTCTCACGAGCTGTGCACATAGGCTCACCCAGAATCCCCAAGGCCAAAAGCTTTGGCGAACTATTTATGCAGTTGTCGATGTTGTCACCTCTCCAAGTTTATTAGGCATCTATCTGTTTAGACTAGACCTATACAGTAGTGATGATTGCTAAGAAACATGAAACAACGTTGTATGGTCTTGGTTAAACAGACGGAAAGCAGACAGATTTAGTTCAGACTGGTGGTGGACTTTGCACCAAACAAGGTGTATTCTATTTCATACACAACGGATGCAGCCCTGAAACACGAAAGAATAGACAATGATGATCCTGACCCTGTACAATCAGCCTTTTCACCCCGTTTTTTTCTTCCCTCTTCTCCACCACCATCCTAGCAACCATCAGAAGGTGGTGACCTTGCCCAGCTTCAGGCCAAGCAGTTTCCGCTGCTTCCGCGCGCTCAACTTCGATAGGAGATTTCTCGTACCCTCCAGAATGGCCCTTTCGTCGTCATCTTCGTCTGCCTCCTGATCCTGGCAGGACACGAACCCGCTTTCTGGACGCGATATGGACGTGGGTTCCAACAGCTCGAACCAACGTTCCACTTTGGCGGTCGAAGTCAGCTGCGGAAAAAGAAAACGTTGAAAAGGAATAATTTTTTTGTCTCTATTTCATACAATACACACCATGCACAGAAATCACTGAAAGAACAATTTAGAGAAATCGCAATGACAAGAATAATTATTCACAATCGCAGGAATATAGATAAAGAATAAGTCGTCATACTACAACAACAAATAGTTTAACAATATATAGGAAGTAATTTAATTGATTGCTAAAAATACAGGATATGATTCCTTAGCTCATTTTAGGAAGAAAAGTTTATATGAACATATATCCTAAACCTCTTAAATTTTGAGCTACAGGGCATTCAAACTTTAAGAAAAAATCGTTTTCTTGTCATAACTGTTCTAGATATTTTCATGAAATTTGACATGCAACAATAGGCTTTTTTTAAGATGAAGATTAAAAAAACACATCTTACCTACAAACTACCACATCAGAATTAAAAAAAAACAAATTTGCAACAAGTTGTGACAATTTCTGTGGATTAAATAAAAACTGTTTAATTTAATTATCAAAAGAATTGCTGAAAATGTCCTCCTTTTGGACAGGCTCTTGTATGAAACGCGTTCCAAGCCAAAGAAGGATATTAGAAGATATTAACGCCATCTGTGAAACGGTAGCATAACACAAAAATTAGAAATCTAATTTGACAAGAGTTAGTTTGGTTCTACTACTGTCTGATAGATGGCTCTAGGATCTTCAATGCCTTTTTGCATTTCTAATGGGTATCTTGGCATTGATTAACGTCTTCCACATGGGAAAAAGAGAATCTAAATCAAATAACCAAAGCCATCCAAATCACAAAACACAATCAACAACTAAGAAAGTGAAGTTGACAGTGTTGACACCTGTCAGGAATGTCAAAGTTGTCAAGAACGTCTAATACGTCAACAGAATAATACAGTATTTTTATGTCTTTATCATTACCAATCTGTACGTTTAAGCCATTTAGCTGTGAGTCATCATACATGGCTCACTGAGAAAATACGATAAAAGAGCAAAGAATTATGTCTTATTTGTTTCAAATTTCTGAAGCCCACACAGAACACAGAACTTACCAGTATTATTTTCTTCTTCATATCCCATTGTTTCAAGTTCTTAGATTGGAAGCTAGGAATAGGCGTTCAGACGAGATAAAAGAAGTTACCATTGAGTCAACGTATTTATATAAAAAACAATTTTTATTTACGAAGTATAACAACAAAACCGTAACAACAAATATCGTATTGTATAACAAATACTGACTACGTCATGAAGTTTATATAATTTATCTTAATCCTAGATGATTCAGCAATGATATACCAGACAGTCTGAAATTAATTTATGCTGGAAATTGAGAGATGTCATTATCATCACTAAGTCAAACATACTTAATAAAGAAAATAAATCATACAAAGCTATATACAATGAATGTGAAAAATGACATTATGGTTTATTATCTACGTTCACAAAGAAATATTTTTCATCATCTATTCACGTCACGCAACTAAATATTATACCTATATTTACAACAATATATGCATAACTTTGGCACGACGTTAGTGATAATTTTAAAGACACAAAAGACTACATAACCGAAAGTATAAAATTGTTCGGCCATTTGTTATTCTGGCCACAGAGAACGTTGGCGTTTCTCACTTTTCTGTGGTCACAATTTGTAATGTTATCTTTATCTTTTCTCTAGTATTAAACACTATGATTTATTCATATGACGTCTTTGAGCTGCAGTTACGCTGGGATCCAAATTTGATTTACGTTTTTGCTATACCTAACAAAAAAGCATTATTTGAATACAAATAATTTTTTTGTTCTGTCTGCTGTTCCTTGGATCTGTTGTTACTTGCATTCTGATCTTGGTACTGTTGATTAAGAGATGTTCGCATGTACTATTTTGAGACTGTTGATAGGAATAATTTTGTGTTTGAACATCGTTGACCCTTCGATTCAAATTCTTTTACTCGGAGGACTCAACCTACTTCCTTATACTGCGGTACTGCCTGCATACGAGTTCCTAGAGGTACTCTTATTTTCAGGTGGTGGATGTTGGGCGTTTAATAGAGGCTGAAACCCGTAGATTGGATACACAGTAGGTTGATAGTACCCGTGATGGTACTTTGGGTAGCTAAAAAGTCTGCAGAGGCCATATTATATTTGTCTTAAGATCTCGAACAGAAGAACTGTTTAGAAATGCATCTTCTTAACTGGAAATCGCTATGCTGAGTCACAGGGTACTACTTTGTAGTCTGTCGTCGGGTCTTGAGGTTTGGTAAACTGAGTTTGCTTCTATTTATTTGGAGTTTGGGGTACTGGAGTGGTTTCTCAGTGTTGCCTAGGTTGTACTCACAGTTGTGACTTGTTTTTGATTAGAGCTTTAGTGGTACTGTTCTCTTTGTGCCTGTTGGTCGACCTCGTACTATTTGCGTTCTGAGCTTGGTACTTGGCATGAGGTATTAAGTGACTGCGGATACAGACAGGTACTCCTGTCGAGACTGATAGGAACTCAACCTAGTTCCTTGCAACGAAGTACCACCTGCATACAAGTGCTACTGTCTTTGAGCTTGTTGGTCATCGACCTCGAACTATTTGCGTTCTGAGCTTGGTACTGTTGATTTTGGCAAGCGTTATTATGAGAATGGCAGGTACTACTTGACGACTGCTGAGACTGATAGGAACAATTTTGAGTCTGGTGGTCATCCCAGATTCAAATTCTGGTACTGCGTAGGCAATTGTCTAGGCTCGCTATTTCTTGCGGGATTCAACCTAGTTCCTTGCACCGAAGTACCACCTGCATACGAGTACTGCTGTCTTTGAGCTTGTTGATCATCGACTTCGAACTATTTGCGTTTTGAGCTTGATACTGTTGATTTTGGCATGAGTTATTAAGTGACTGCGGATACTGACAGGTACTCCTGTCGAGACTGATAGGAACTCAACCTAGGTCCTTACACCAAAGTACCACCTGCATACAAGTACTGCTGTCTTTGAGCTTGTCGGTCATCGACCTCGAACTATTTGCGTTCTGAGCTTGGTACTGTTGATTTTGGCAAGCGTTATTATGAGAATGGCAGGTACTACTTGACGACTGTTGAGACTGATAGGAACAATTTTGAGTCTGGTGGTCAGACCAGATTCAAGTTCTGGTACTGCGTAGGCAATTGTCTAGGCTCGCTATTCCTTGCGGGATTCAACCTACTCCCTTGTACTTCAGTACTGCCTGCATACGAGTTCCTGGAGATAATCGGCGACTAAAATGCCATCTTCTGATGAGGTGGTGGCTATTGAGGGTTTATTAAAGGCTGAAAACCGTAGATTGGAGACCCAACAGGCTGATAGTACCCTTGATGGTACGGCGAGTAGCTCAAACGTCTGTAGAGGCCAAAGTGTCTTTGTCTTAAGATCCCCAATAGAAGAACTATCTAGTATTGCATCTTCTTAACTGGGGATAACTGTGATGGGTACTACTTTGTAGTGTGTCGTGCCCAAATAGTTCTATGTACTTCAGCCATCAGTTGACTCCTGTTTGGTACTTTCTCGCTCTTGGACCTAGTAACTGGAGAACTATGAGAGTGCCCAGTATCGTCTAGCCTCAAGTTACTCATCATTTCATTATTATCATTTGAGTTGGAAGGTACCGGTACTATCACCCTCATTCTTCCGTCAGAATCTGTAGTAGTTAAAGTACCCATTTGAGCTTGAGGTTTAATAAACTGAGTTTGCTTCTTTTCATTTGGGGTTTGGGGTACCGGAGTGGTTTCTCTTTGCTGCCTGTTGTTAGGTTGTACCCGAAGTTGGTTTTGATTAGTGTTTTGCTGGTACTGCGGTCTTTGAAATTGTTGGTCATTCGACCTCGTACTATTTGCGTTCTGAGCTTGGTACTGTTGATTTTGGCAAGCGCTATTATGAGACTGGCAGGTATTACTTTGCGTCTGATAGGTCTGATGATCATTGACTCTCAGATTCATATTCTGGTACTGCGTAGGCAACTGCCTAGGCTCGCTATTCCTCGCGGGACTCAACCTGCTTCCTTGCACCGAAGTACTACCTGCATACGAATTCCTAGGCATCATCGGCGACTGTGGCGCCATCTTTTTTTGTGGCGGAGGCTGCAAAGTGTAACTATTGTTCAACAAAGTTTGCGAACCGTACATCGGAGGCACATAAGGCGGGTAGTACCCTTGATGATACGCAGGGTAACTACCTAGCGTTTGTAACCTCTGCAAGAGTTGCGCCTCGAATGAAGCACCTTCCCCAGGGGCGTACCCGAAAGGGAACGCTGCAGGGTTGAAGGAGGTTCGTAGAGGTGAGGAAGGTTGAAGGCAAGGCGCAACAGCAGCCCTGTTCTCGATGAGGCTATGAGGTATGTAACTGAAGGGAGGCAGTACCGGACTGCTGTCTACCGAAGAGGAAGGCTCGGAGGTGTCGTAACCGTCGGACATTGCCATCTGGTGCTGGTTCTATTGGGAGAGTGATGAGAAATTATCAGAAATGGAACAAAGATTTGATGCAAGTCATCCAAAAGCCTTTGCTTTCTCTTTCACACCCACTGGACGTTACAAATACGCCCAATCTGAACGAATTTGAAAAAGTCACATTTTTTTAATTCTCATCTACACGTGAAATGCCCGAACAATTTTGCAGAGTACTGGGAGAAGTACGATTTATAACTGAAAGATACAAAGGTTTCTGGGTGAATCACTTGAGAATCATCTCAAGAATAGAATACACTATTTTTTGAAATTAGTACGGTCAGCGAAAAAATCTAGACGCTTCAGAAACACAAGACACAACTATACAGAGAAATCCAAAAATCACTGACGAGGCAATGTGTATGAGACTGAAGCGCGATTTAGAAAGAGAGCGTCGATGAAATCGCGGTGTTTCTATCTCTTTCTAACATACGTATTGCACGCGTGATGCTAAGCGAAAGCTGGCAACACTACCGTGTTGACAGGTGGATTCCACGTCTAAAATAATGCGTTGAAAAAATGGCGACTGTGTAGGAAAATAGTTTAAAGATCAACGTTTCCGATGGTAAATTAGTTATTCTTTAGACAACCCTCGTATATGAATTTCTCTGTTCCGTGGAGCAGACCTAACCAATTAGTTCGCGGACCGACCGACACACGTACCTAACTTTACAGTGTTGCCACTATATTCGGATATTCTGGGACTAGAAGAAAAATAGTGTACTTTTGAGATGATTCTCGTAGGCTATGTAAAAAATGATAATTACCTAACATCTAATCTTGGAGAAGGCGTCCAGCAGCAAGTTATTGTTATCCAGGTTATTGCTACAGACCTGCGCACAAAGAAATAAGCCGAAAACTCACAACACAGAGCATCACATGTGTTTAATGACCTTGGGTGCTTTCCCTGGTGCATCTAGGTGTTCATGTTCTTTTGAAAAGCACTGATGTTGGAGATATTGTGAAAAATATCAGCTAATAGCTCTGATATTTTTCTAAATAAGCTTCCAAAATCAGAAAAATAGCTGCTTGCGATAATATGTGTTAGCGATAGCAGATAATTAAAAAATATAGAAAAAGTAGTTCGACCATACATATGCGAAAAATTGGGAAATCTTGAAACTGGAGATACTACAGATCAAAATATGTGAATTGACCTGAACATACCTTAGTCCAAAATTTGATAGTTTGCGAGATACAGGGCGTCAAAGTTACAATTTTATTTTATATTTTTCCTTATTCGCGAATTCCACTACAAAAAGTACCTTACCTGTGAAGTCCAAGATAATCTGAAAATTTTTGGTTTGACAATTTTTACTGTAACTCTAAAACTAAACTGGTGGGGGGTATGCAAAGGTTTCCGTAAGAAACACCCTTTATCATCGAAACGGCTAGAGGGCTTTTTTCGATATTCGGACATAAATGGTTAATTTTTTCAAAAACATTAAACGCGTTGGTATGATCTTTTTTGTGAAAAAGTATCTAAATTATGTCTAAACAAAATCGCGAAAATTGCATATCGATATCTTGTTCCTATCCTAAAATTTAGGGCAAGAAAGTTTTATACGATAATCCCTTCAATTTTTATTTTTTTAAGCTATTTTCTTTTTATTATCAAGTGGCGGCCATAAAAAAGACCGATTTAAAAAAGGTTTTTAATGCCCCTGTAAATGCTTGAAGGGTAGACAAAACTGTAGCTTCAATTTCGGATCTCGGTATGTCTCGTATTACATTACGAATCCGGTTTTTCATATCTTCTCTGGTTGCAGGCTGAGTCTGAAACACGATGTCCTTTAACCGTTCACAAATCAAGACAAGTCAAGTCTCGTGATCGCGGAGGCCATGGAAACAGGCTTCCTCTTCCACCGCTGTTGAAATACTGCATTAATATGCACAATAATATCAAAATTTTTGCCTCTACGACGGATAGGTTTCCAGTTGGCAACCCTGTATGTGAACGCAAATTGGAAGAAATAACATCGCGAGAAGATCCAAGGAGGAGTGAGGCGGTATAGAAAGAGGATATTGATTGAACTTAGAGAAGGAACTGCGTTTCGTCCTACCCATTCGCCAATTATAATGCGGGTTCGACTCAGGAGACGCGCGAGAATTAAACTGTCAATGTGGGGTGCGAAACCTATGTTTATTTCGCGTAAACTAATGGGACAAGCGATTAAGTTGGGAGGTTACACTGCCTACACAGACGACGACGATGTTAGGAAGAAGGATATTGTCAACGTACAATAGTACAATCTATTTTACAGAGTTCAACAGTAAACAAATTGTTTTGTTGTTATTTGGTTGGTTTTCGTTTTATGTTATTCGAAAAACATAGTCAGACTAGCTTATATACAAAACTAATATTTTCTTTCATAACGAAGCATCTGGACCAGAAAGTCGTACGAATTTCAAAACCGTGACAAGCACGGGTATGGGGATAAGTAGCGTGAGGCTCGGAAATTTAGTCGCCATGGAGCGTTTCACCCCGCGTGCTGCGTTAAGGCTTATAACAAAAATAGAGATTCGTGCACTATCGCGCGTCTGATTCGCTCTGAGTTTAGTTTACAAGATCCAGATCAATGTCCTGGTGAAAGTGTGATCAGGTCGTGGGTCATGAAGTTCGAGCCTACCGGTTCGACACTGAATCAGAAAACTGCGGGGCGTCCAAGGTCAATACGAACTGCGGAAACTGTAAGCGTATTTTGGTAAAAGACCTTATAAACTTCAACTAGTGCAGGAAATGAAACCGCAGGACCATCTACGACGTGCGTTTGCCGAAACAATGTTAGAGCGCTTTTCAAGTTTGAACAATATTCTCTTTTCTGATGAAGCTCATTTTCATTTGAGTCCAAAGTAATGGACCCCAGTAGTAGCGTAGAGCTTCACAGCGACACAGAACGTGCGCCGAGGTTTCTTCCTCTACCCCGCAGCGCTCACAGAAGGGATCCACAGCCACCCCCACTACGTGCAGGTGGCGCCTTATCGTGTTATGGCCAGACAACACTCCCACCAGAAACCTTAGTTTGGTTCTATCCAAAGATAAACAGAAACGTCTATCCTTAGCGCTGGGCCCTACAATGAGTTCTGGTGCCTGGCGGAGATGTCTGGAGATACTTCTCCATTTGTGAGAGTGTTGTCTTGCAACCCACGTCTCCATTTTCCTCCTAGCTTTATGCGCGGTCACTCCTAGAGCTGGCTCAGGACCAACGAGGTTGCTGGCTGATCCTGTTTTCGCCAGAGTGTCCGCCGTTTCATTGCCCTTTATCCCAGCGTGTCCCGGTACCCATATTAACGATAACGGATGCCTCGCTGCGAGGTAATCCAGAGCCTCCCTGCATTGCAATACAAGACTCTAAGTAATCTTAAAGCTGCTACACACAGTGCCGGCGGCAATGCCGCGCAAAGCCGTCAAGCATCATTCCGGTTGTGACAGTCACATAGAAAGCTAGTGAAGTACTGCATTTCTGGGATTCCATAATATATCATTTTCATGAAATTTTTCAATTAAGAGCAGCACAGCTTCGTCGTCCCAATTAAACGACATTTTAATTTGTTTAAACACACAAACCGCACAACACTACCGCTCGAATGCCAGGAACGAAGTGACGCCGGCAAGCCGCGTAACCCGGCGGCACACCACGGCGGCTCCTTTGCGCGGCAAGGCCGGCGGCTTTGTATGCCGCCGGCTGTACGGCGGCTTGCCCGGCGGCCCTGTGTGTAGCAGCCTTTACAGGCACTTAGTGCTTTCATTGCAGCCTGGCTGTCGGATAAGATTGTTATTCTTCTCCTAGGCCCACCCTTTTCCAGAATCTGAGATACACAAGCCAGACTCGCAAAGATTTCCGCCTGGAAAATGGTGGTGTATCCACCGAGAGGTAGAGATGGCATAGTTCTAGACCCAGAGACCGCAGCACCTGGCCCTCTTCGGTGACCGAGCCGTCCGTGTACCAGACCTGCCCGCTCACTCCTCCGCCCACTCCTCCCTCGTTGGATACTCCACAATAAACTTGCGGTTGAAGCGATATTTAGGGGTAATACGATCACCCCTGCTTAGAAGGACGGGGTCCTCCCTTTGTAATTCGACTAAGATGGCAGTATGCCCCTTGACAGGATTCAAGAAGGCGCAGCTGCCGTGACTCCACAATCGATGTGCGACTTCTCACGCGATCACTAGATCCAACGGTGAGAGATCCAGCAGAGCTTCCATTGGACTCAATGGCGTTGTTCGCGCAGCGCTTGTAATGCTCATACAGGCCAAACGCCGAATTTTATTGAGTTTGGCCTTAGTTGTATCAGTACCAATGCTAGGCCACCAAACCAGGGAGCCGGACAAAAGAGATGGGCGTACTATCGTCGTGTAGAGCCAGCGCACCACTTTGGGTTTAAGCTCCACCTCACCCGGACAACACCCCTGCAAGCCCACATTGAACTGCGAGCCTTGTTAACCTTCAACATGCTATCTCCCGTTCAGTTTACAGTCCAGGATGATTCTTAGATATTTTGCTGATAGGAATAGAACTAGCCTAGTCCCAAAGAAGATCGGCAAGACCAGCCCGTCAGGATTCCTTCTCCTAGTGAATAGAATCAGCTCGGTCTTTCCAGCGTTGACAGAAAGAGCGACCTCCCTACGACAGGATTCCACAGTGCGCAGAGCGCCCTGAATAATCTCGGAGACCATTCTACAAAAACGTACTAACGTCGTTTAGAGCCGGTTTGAGTTTAAGCCCCCACCTTACACCGACAACACGTAATTGAATAGCGAGCCTTGTTAACCTTGCATTCAACAAGCTCCCTCCAGTTCGGTTTGCAGTCCAGGATAATTCCCCCGCTCATTTTAATGACCCACCCTGTACCAAGAAACCACGCGTGCTGTGTTTCCCCAGCAGCTGCCGCTATTGACTTGATACGTTCGTGTCAGATCAAGTCCTCGACGATCCGGCCTCAGATCAGCCGTAACGAACTCGACCATCGATCGAAACCGGATTTCTTCTCCAGTTCGATCAATGCAAGGGGATTATAGAAAACTCCTATTCGACGAAGGATTTCAGTGTGAAATGAAACAGGGTGATAGGACCGGAGAGATTGCACTGATAAATCCCATAAGCCTCTGTACGTATAATACGATTTGCTGCGCCGACCTGAAAAGCTCTGAAAAGTGAAAAGAGTGCGGCAAATGAAATGATTTTCTGCGCAACGGACTTGTATTATCGCAAAGTATGCTCCCGAACATTGATGGGAAACGTTAGAAGTATTTTGATATGTAGGATGCATTATAAAATTTGTCTAAACTTGTCTGATATTTTACCTTGATTCTCAAAATTAATTTTTCGCTCATTCCATAGTTTTTAGGGGTACTAAAAAAAATATATATAAACATTTGCGGCAATACACACACGACGCATTCCAACGTTCCTGTTAATAATAAGAGGCAGGATATCAAACAATGGATAAAGACAGAGGAGTTTGAGATGCCCCAAACGTCTCTGAAATTATGATTTTCACAAAAGAAATGCAGTACAGTTTATTGCCCCGAACTTTGAGCCCTCTATGAACTTATATTTTTCACAAAAAAATTCAATGTTTATTAAAATGTGTTATTTCTCAGCAAGCCATGAAGCGCAAAAATAAAATAAAAACCCACAAGGTACACATCTATCATCATGCTTTATCATCAAACTAAGCAACCTACCTGCGGCATGGTCATATGCGGGGGCGTCTGCTGTTGTCCCTGTTTATCCCCGCCTTGAAGATGTGCCACCAATGCGGCGATGTGGTCCAACAGCTCGCGGTTGTGCACCAGCAGTTGGTGGGTGCGTGCTTGGGCCTCCAGTCTTGCCGCCTGGAACGAAGTAGATACTTGTTTTTCACTTGTGCGTCGTATACCCCGATACCGACTCACTATCATTTTACCTAACGATCGTTTCCGTTGACATCCGTTTGCTTTTATATGTCAGCCACAAATATTGTTACACGACATCTGCTAGGTGGCGCTGTTATCACGTACGCAACAAGTATATCAGACCCTGGTACCGAAAAGGGAGAGACATCAAAACACATCGCACGCTACTGCAAAATTAACAAACAAGGAGATGTTGTTATCTTCCTTTTCGGTACCCAAGTTTACCAAATAATAGTTATACCAAGGAAAGGAATGTTTTTATATCCCGTTAGTCCACTCAATTGACCTTAGATTGAGCCCGCATTACTGATTTACAACAAAAATACAGCGATCTATGCGCGAACCTCCTTTGGTTTGACGGTTCGTTCATAGATGGCTCGGCATCTACCGCGGCAATGTTGCCAAACTGACAGAAAATGTTTAGAAACTGAAACATTTATACTTATAGATTATCATCGACCGCCAAAGGTTCCACAGTTATAGCAATAAGACTTTATAATCACTTACGAAATTCCATAGAGGGTATAACCAACTTTCGTCTATTTAAAGCAAAGGTTAAGGACAATATGTTAAGCAATCCCTCCTATAACGTTTCAGAATAGTTAAGCAGCTGTTTTGAATAGCACATATATTTTATTTATTTACCATTGATGCTTTTAATTTGTATTTTAGAAAAAACGCTTGTACACGTCGTTTTTGATTTATAGGGGGGACGTCTTTTCATCTATAGCCGTACAATACAGGGTGATCCAAAAATAAGATATTGCGTTATACTTTGGAAGCCCCCCCTAAAATTTTATTATAAATTCAAATAGATTGACAACGATTGAAGATAGGTATAAACTTTATTATACAAAAGTTACAACAAAAAAATGGGGGCTTCCATTTAAGAATCTAAAGTGAAACGCAATATCTTATTTTTGGATCACCCTGTATTGTACGGCTATAGATGAAAAGACGTCCCCTAGATATCAAAATTGACGTGACCGGACGTTTTTCCCAAAATGTACCAGAAGACTCACAAATAGGGGTGCGACCTTTTAGTTGGGCCACCCTGTATATGTATTATTTTCGTTTGCGAAATTTTTAGTATTGATTGTTTTTGTAATGACCATACAATATTTTTTAAACCACTAAATTTCATTCTTAAAGACAATTCCGATACTAAGATTGTATAGTCGTATGGAAAATAAATACATTTATTATTTATTTACTATGTTAAATAAAATACTGTTTTTTGGCAGTTACTTTACAAAATTTCAAAGAACACAGAAATCCTTTTTATCTGATTACCTACTTGATGATGTATATATAGATGACTAAAAAACATCGTTTTCTAATTGTATTGTGGATTTTTTCTTCGATCGTAACTTGTTAACAAATATTAGTACAGCTCTCAAATTGTATGTGAATATTCCACTTTTATGGATAAATGAAACAAGTAATTACTTTCATTCTTATCACTTTTTATCTTCGAAAAATCTTGGCTTTTCTTGAAAACTCGAGTTGCTGCGAGACGAGGCTTGAAAAAATCAAAGATTTTTCGAAAAAGAAAAGTGATGAGAACAAAAGTAATATCTTGTTTCATTCTTCCATGAAAGAGGAATATTCACACGCAATTTCAGAGCCGTACTTACATTTGTTGACAAGTTCCGATTGAAGAAAGAATGCCCAATAAAATGCATTTTTGACAAAAAAAATAAAACATTGTTTCAGCTTGAAATCGAAGGTTTTAATGGTGACTAACTCAAACTACTACATGTACAAATCTCTATCTCTAATTTTATTCACCTTGTCTATCTTCTCTTGGTATAACTACTATTTGACATTACATTGTATGACCAAAGATAAATTTCAACTCTATGAGACATTATCACTTTACCTGTTCAGCTTGCAGCTGTTCCCGGGCGAGCTGCAGCTGCGCCATGGCCGCCTGAGTCTGCTGCGTTTGTTGCTCGAGCTGTTCGCGCATCAGTTGTAGCTCGTGATGTGCGGACAGCGCCGAGCCAGGTGGAGGCAACGCGTTGCAACTACCCCCATCGCTGTTACCCCCACCGGCGCCGTTCGCAGCTGACAGCAGCGTGTCCGAGTGGGGGGACGAGTACGTCTCGCCGGAAGTCTGGAACAAGCAAAACTCATGAGATGTCGTTGTTTAACAGAGCCAGAGAATTTTAATAGATAAGGAGCCACGCCTGTACAGTGTGTTGTATTTTGGGCAGCTTCTTGGCTAAAAGCAAATACCTGGTTGAGCAACAAATGGATATTACTGCTACTATATCATTGTATCAAGTTTTTCAATGACATTAATGAAAATGAGATTATTTTCTTCGCTGCGTGCGCGATTTGAATTCGTGGGTCTGGCTGGAAAGTGGGGTACTACACCTGTTCTATTTACGAGACGAGGCCGGAACATAAATACATGATCAAACGAACTTACATGTAAGTGACGTTCGATCTCAATTATGTGAAGGCCTCGTCGAAGTAAATAGCACTCTTCCTATGTATCACCTAATTGTTGCAACAACTTGGTTTTGAAGAAAATGCGAGTTTGTAGGCCAGGAACCAGCTAGGGGGAAGATGGGCGGGCTCGCTGAACCGCTTTTCTTCGCTGCGCGCGCGATTTGAAATCGTGGGTTTGGCCAGGGAATGGGGTACTACACCTGTTCTATTTACGAGACGAGGCCGGAACATAATTACATGATCAAACGAACTTACATGTAAGTGACGTTCGATCTTAACTATGTGAAGGCCTCGTCGAAGTGAATAGCACTCTTCCTATGTATCACCCAATTGTTGCAACAACTTGGTTTTGAAGAAAATGCGAGTTTGTAGGCCAGGAACCGGCGAGGGGGGACGTGGGAGGGCTCGCTGAACCGCTTTTCTTCGCTGCGTGCGCGATTTGAATTCGTGGGTTTGGCCGGAAAACGGGGTACTACACCTGTTCTATTCACGAGACGATGCCGGAACATAAGTGCATGATCAAACGAACTTAGCTGTAAGTGATGGTCGATCTTAATTATGTGAAGGCCTAGTCGAAGTAAATAGCTCCCTCCCTATGTATCACCCAATTGTTGCAACAGCTTGGCTTTGAATAAAATGGCAGTTTGTAGGGCAGGGGCCGGAGAGGAGGAAGGTGGGAGTGCCCGGTGAGCCGCCTTTCTTCGCTGCGTGCGCACTTTGAACTCGTGGGTTTGGTCAGGGAACGGGGTACTACACCTGTTCTAGTTACGAGACAAGGCCGGAACATAATCACATGATCAGACGAACTTACTGGTAAGAGATGTTCCATCTTAATTATGTGAAGGCCTCGTCGAAGTAAATAGCACTCTTCCTATGTATCACCCAATTGTTGTAATAACTTGCCTTTAAAGAAAACGAGAGTTTGTAGGCCAGGAGCCGGCGAGGACGAACGTGGCAGGGTGCGGAGAGCCGCTTTTCTTCGCTGCGTGCGAACTTCGAAATCGTGGGTTTGGCCAGGGAACGGGGTACTACACCTGTTCTATTTACGAGACGAGGCCGGAACATAGTTACATGATCAAACGAACTCACCTGTAAGTGATGATCGATCTTAATTATGTGAAGTAAATAGCTCCCTCTCCCCCCCAATGTATCGCCCAACTGTTGCAACAACTTGGCTTTGAAGAAAATGAGAGTTTGTATGCCAGGAGCCGGAGAGAAGGAAGGTGGTGGGAGGGCGCGGTGAGGCGCTTTTCTTCGCTGCGTGATCGTTTCGAACTCGTGAGTTTGGCCGGGAAACGGGGTACTACTTGCTCCCGTTATTTTATTGCGGACATGCATCGTTAAATTATCATGTTCCTACTTGCTCCTCAAGACAAAAATGTCGCGATAATACGTTTAAACTTTATCTCTATGCAATAGAGAAGTCTGCTCCTGCTTCAAAATGCGCCGACCTGGGATAACACGCGTTTGCATTTCGCATTTCCCTCGAATAAAAGGTTACTGAACGTAGTCTTGAATGCAAATTTCCTGCTCCTTTGATCCCCTTTCGCTCATCTGAATGTCTGAGCGGCCAGAACTTCGTTAAGGAAGCGAATTACAAGGGCATAAAACAGGCAAAAAGAACAGAAGATGATTTACCGTTTTTGCACGGTTCATTACATCGCTGCTGGGTAATCGCTCTGGTGTGTTTTTCTTTTCTGTGGAGCTCGGAAGTACGGCGTTTTACGCTCTTCCTCTTTTTCTGACCCATTAGATTGATTAGGAACGCTATTATATTTTTATGGCTTTGACGCAAGAAAAAATAGCGGCGTACTTCCCACACTGGGCTGTCTTCAGGCCATGAAGGATTATGTTCATCACAAACTAGAACCTCTGAGAAAAAGGTTAGTCGAACAGGTTCATACAATTAGCTCATAGAAAATAGAATTTTCAGCAACTTCTTCCACCTCATTGGTTATGCCGTAACGTATGGGCTAAAAGTTTTGGAACAAAATTCATTGGCTTACGAGAGATCAGCAAAACTTGCCCAATAGAGGATTTTTGGACTTTGGATGCAATATCAACAACACTCGTCCAGTTGAAATGGAGCTGTTTAAAATATTTGAAGAATATTATAAGCGTAACACGCTTTCGATATTAATAATTGATCGTTGAAGATTGAAAAGAGCACAGGGAGCAAGGATTTTTAAAAGATGGAGCAAGGATTTTTAAAAGATGGTGAAAGTGATACCTTTGTGTGTGTGTGTGTGTGTGTGTACAATTTAAAAATATGGTGAATGTCCAGCTTGTGAAAGTTCGCTCATTCGCCATTTATGAAAAACATTATGACGATTTTCCACTACATAGAATCTTCAGCAACTTCTTCCACCTCATTGGTTATGCCGTAACGTATGTGCTAAAAGTTTTGACACAAAATTCATTCCCTTACGAGAGATCCGCAAAACTTGCCGCAGCCTCGCCCAATAGAGGATTTTTGGACTTTGGATGCCACATCAACAACACTCGTCCAGTTGAAATGGAGCTGTTTAAAATATTTGAAGAATATTATAAGCATAACACGCTTTCCATATTAATAATTGATGGTTGAAGATTGAAAAAAGCACATGGAGCAAGGATTTTTAAAAAATGGTGAAAGTGCTACCTTGTGTGTACAATTTAAAAATATGGTGAATGTCCAGCCGATGAAAGTTCGCTCATTCACCATTTATGAAAAACATTATGACGATTTTCCACTACAGTGGACCTCCGGTAATCCGACAAACATTATGCAGGGCAGTGTCGGACTATCGAATTTGTCGGATTATTGAGCACCGCCTGAGACCCCCTATAGTCCGGAATTTTTTACAAAATGGTAAGATTATATATGTTATGTATATGTATGTACTTTGAAGTACAAATCATACATAGTTTATGTATGTCGAATTTAGTAAATTAAATAACAATAGAGAGCTTACGTTTCAACATGTGTAAAGGTTCAGTAATCTTCAGACTGTCCAAGTACTACAATCCGCGTAAAGGACAATTCCAACTTTCGGGACACCCTGTATATTCCAGATGTAAAACTGACGTAAAGAAAATGAAATACATTTAAATGTTGTTCAGGTTAAAAAGGAACTTTCTACAATCCTTGAATTGTGCAATATTATTCGCAACGTACTGTATGTAAATTTTGGACTTACCAGCGGAGATTTTCTGTTGTTTGTCGTTGGCGGTGGAGGAATGAGATCCAGTTGAGGAGGTATTCTGGAATTTCTATTATTTTCTAGATCCTTCAGGCTGCAGTCGTCCGTGGGCAGCGAACCCTTATCACTTGCAGACTCTGAGAAATCTGTAACAAAAGAGGATTCTAAATCAACTCGTGACTTTTTTTTTGTTCTGTTATTTGCACTGGTCGATGACCAACTGGCCAGATCCTTACGTTCAGTATAATGCTATGCTTTAATAGAAAATAGAACATCCATTACTTAATATTACCACTGTATTATTTCTAGTATTACATAGAGTATGCGAACACATATTGCTTTTTTTAACCAATACTTTTTACTTATTTTTCCTTTTTTCTACTTTGTTTCCAGGATTGTTTTTTATATGCATATATACATATATATATATACATATATATTTTGAGACGTGTTCATTGTCGTCTAGACCAGTTAGGTGAAAAATTAAAGCTTCCGCCTTTTGTTGGGTACTTCGACAAAATTTAAGCAAAGAGGACTCTTTATACATTTTTAATTCTCTCTAGCTTTCAATGGACTTTGCCATCATCATCAGGAGCTGCAATTACAATGATAACAGTAGCAACAAAAGTGTAAAATGAATTTGAATTGACTCAACTGTTTTTAACTTGTTCTTGTCATATTTTATATAATTTTGACCATTGTACCATCTATCCAGCTCTCACCATGTTACTGGACGTTTCCCTCATCCTATACGTAAACAACAATTAGCAACATCCTCACATACTATTGTAAGTTGAGTCAATTCAAATTCATTTTACACTTTTGTTGCTACTGTTATCATTGTAATTGCAGCCCCTGATGATGATGGCAAAGTCCATTGAAAGCTAGAGAGAATTAAAAATGTATAAAGAGTCCTCTTTGCTTAAATTTTGTCGAAGTACCCAATAAAAGGCGGAAGCTTTAATTTTTCACCTATATATATATATATATATATATAGGTATAGGTATATATATATATATTACTTTATACTGTTTTTTTTTCAATATTTCCTTCCTCTCTTCATTTTTTCAAACAAACTTACTGTAATTTACATTTTACAATGTTAGGCCTACTTTCCGACAATGCTTGCATACGAGAATAAATGTTAAATGACTCTGTAAACCTTAACCGCCAGATTAAAAGTTTCGTCCTTAATCAATGACTGCGATGTCGTGTACGAATCCTTTTGGGAAACTTTCCGCCACGCCTCGTAATTCTTAGTGGGTAAGAACCTCTAGGGTATTGCGGCTAATCCGACACGACACTTTTAGTTTTTGACCCATGCCAAGAACTATAAAATACCTCGCGTTAGTCGTTGACATGAATTTCGAAGGTAAACAAGCTGTAAATTAGATTTGCGAGAAATAGGCGTTAAATCACCGGTAGCCGCATTTCTAAAGATTTATTTTGTACATTTCTGAGTATGTATGCGCGACATGTGAACTTTTGTCCAAAAATATCTCCCTCTTTTTCAGACCAAAATACACCGTTTTATGATAGGTACGGAGTTTAGTCGCAACTCAAAAGCTGCTTGCTGGAATGGTCTATTTGAATGTGCATTAATTCCGTTTGGAAAAATGACAATTTTTTATAATAATGTATGTCCTGTAAGTTTTTCATTATTAGCATGATGTTCGTAGAGAAACTGAAGCAATTTGGAAAGGCAGTTATCAACATTAGCTCTGACTATTCAAAGCTTCACCCTTCACTCTTCCCACAAAAGGTTGGGATACACCCCTTTTAGAAATTACGCACTAGACAAGGATTTTATTTGCAAATTTCGCTTTATGTTTGTAACTAACATTGCCAGGGAATTCCTCTACGTTGTCCATTTAAGAAATCGTAATAAATCGTAATAAATCGTAATCAATCGTAATAAGTCGTAGTAAATCGTAATAAATCGTAATAAATCGTAATACATCGTAATACATCGTAATAAATCGTAATAAATCTGAATAAATCGTAATAAATCTGAATAAATCGTAATAAATCGTAATAAACCGTAATAAATCGTAATAAATCGTAATCAATCGTAATAAGTCGTAGTAAATCGTAATAAATCGTAATAAATCGTAATACATCGTAATACATCGTAATAAACCGTAATAAATCGTAATAAATCGTAATAAATCGTAATAAATCGTGATAAATCGTGATAAATCGTGATAAATCGTGATAAATCGTGATAAATCGTGATAAATCGTAATAAATCTTAATAAATCGTAATAAATCGTAATAAATCGTAATAAATCGTGATAAATCGTGATAAATCGAAAGAAATCGCAACAAATCGTAACAAATCGTAATAAATCGTAATAATCGTAATAAATCGTAATAAATCGTAATAAATCGTAATAAATCGTAATAAATCGTAATAAATCGTAATAAATCGTAATAAATCGTAATAAATCGAAATAAATCGTAATAAATCGTGATAGATCGTGATAGATCGTGATAAATCGTAATAAATCGTGATAAATCGTGTTAAATCGTGATAAATCGAGATAAATCGTGATAAATTGTGATAAATCGTAATAAATCGTAATAAATCGTAATAAATCGTAATAAACCGTAATAAATCGTAATAAATCGTAATAAATCGTAATAAATCGTAATAAATCGTAATAAATCGTAATAAATCGTAATAAATCGTAATAAATCGTGATAAATCGTGATAAATCGTAATAAATCGTAATAAATCGTAATGAATCGTAATACATCGTAATACATCGTAATAAATCTGAATAAATCGTAATAAATCTGAATAAATCGTAATAAATCGTAATAAATCGTAATAAACCGTAATAAATCTGAATAAATCGTAATAAATCGGAATAAATCGGAATAAATCGTAATAAATCGTAATAAATCGTAATAAATCGTAATAAATCGTAATAAATCGTAATAAATCGTAATAAATCGTAATAAATCGTAATAAATCGTAATAAATAGTAATAAATAGTAATAAATCGTACTAAATCGTAATAAATCGTAATAAATCGTGATGAATCGTGATGAATCGTGATGAATCGTGATAAATCGTGATAAATCGTGATAAATCGTGATAAATCTGAAATAATGATTATTCCATTGGCAAAGTGACGGCTGCATCTTGGTATACGAACGAGTCGCACTTGAGACTATTTGGGACACTTAAATCTCTTTCGATATTTAAGACCATTGCTCCTCAATTCCAACGATATCGTACTCTTAGATCTTAATTGACGAGCCAGTATCCTTGTTGACATTCCAAGGTGATTTTTTGCTCTTCTGTTCCTGTGATCTCTGTAAATGCACATGATCGTCCTCTTTTTGGGAGATACAGATAATGGTATTCCCTGCTCGTGGTGTATATGGTACTAAGAAAAATTGCTTATGTTTTCAAGATCTACACGTCGTGTAAAGGAAAACCCTAACTTTGCGGATACCCTGTATGTGGTACATGCATGATGGTGCACCAGCGCATTTTAGTGTAGAGGCCATTTTCAACAATTTTTGAAAAATAATAAATATTCGCATATCATTAAGGAGCACCCTGTATATACAATTAAGTATGATATATAAGTAGCTATTAGGTGAGATTCATGAAGTTTGGCATCGCTTTTCCTATTACGCGCGAATACTGTGCCAAAAAAATTTCAGTTGTTCTCAGAAAACAGGCAAATAGTAATAAAATATAGTAGATCGATCACATTTGTCATGTGAGTGCGCGAGTCACTTGCCAACCTACTGTTATGATGATTATACTCAAAATAACTTCATTCTCAATTGAAATCAGCGTAAAAACGCGCTTTTGTGACATTTCAAAAAGACGATCCTGTTTAATATGTTATCCATGTCCAATGGGAAAGTTCGCACTTCAAATTTGAATCACGCGGCAACCGAATACGCGAGAAAGTGGGGAGAGGTCTTCATCGACGCGTTCGGCGTGCGGGTTAAATAGTCACAATGGAACGTTGGACCGGAGCGCAACGTAGTTTGCTTACTTTAAGAGCGGCGATTCATAAGCAGCGCAGACTCGAGAACATTGTTTTCAGTGACGAGTTATTAGACGGTTATGTGAACAAGCAAAATTGCAGATATTGGGCACCCCCTTTCCCTTGTATCCCCCTATAGCCCCACAGTATCCAATGGCTGTTTAGGCCTTGGGCCTTCGTGGTAGTTGGAGTATACAAAAAACCAACGAACCCAAAAGAGAAACATCAACAACAGCTACATAGTCCAAAGGTGACTGTTTGGTGCACCATGTCCTTTAGCGATATTATTGGGCCGTATTTCTTTGAAGATGACAGTCAATACCGAGCGATACAAGGACAATTTTGCTCGTATTGTAGGAACAGAACGACAATTTGTTTGCCCTTATATGCTGGGACACCCTACTGTATTTTTTTTTTCATATCGAAACAGCCGCGCAGGCAGAAGCCTAAATGCCGGAACACCGCGGCTGCTATGATGATCCCAAAGAAATTTTGTTAATACGATTTTTGAACTGCCTAAGGTTAGTAGAACTGGGAAAAACTTCCTCCCGTAGTTTGTTCCACAATCTAGACACCCTCGGGACAAAGGAGCGGTCGTATCGGCCAGTTCTGGATGTACGAAGTTTGTCACGGTTGGGATGGGACGCCGAAGTCAGGCGGGTCTGTCTGGCAGGCACATCGCGCGGCGGCATCATGGAAGAGAGCTCTGAGGAGCAAAGCCCATTGGTGTAGCGATAGAAAAGAGCTAGATCGCCGACGGCCCGCCGGTGCGAAAGAGTCCCGAGACTGTCTGTTAGAGAAGAGTCATCGATCAGTCGGACCGCCCTCCTCTGGACAGCATCGAGCATGGACAATGTAGTCGGGGCGGCAGCACCCCAAATGTGTGAGCAATACTCGAGGCTAGGCCTTATCTGGGCCTTGTATAGAGTGAGAAGGTCATGCGGAGAAAAGTACTTCTTAGCCCTAAACAAATAGCCTAGCTTTTTCCCAGCAGCTGCAGCAATTTTAGAGATGTGTTCGTGCCAGATCAGGTCCTCGGTGATCTGGACTCCGACCAGCCGAAATGAAAGGCTCTTTGGTAGAACTCGACCGTCCATCGAAACTGTATGAGCGCTAGGACGCTTCTTGT